CAGTTTGGGTGTCAGGTGGTGTCCCATCTTTAGCCTCGTAATGAAAGAGATAAGTACCATCAGTCCTTCTCTGATTACACTTCACAGCACAATTGGAAGAAAGGAAACAGCTTAGGAAATGGAGTCTCATCCCTCTTTATTCCATAATTGCTACCGCAAGACTTTTGTTAAACGAACCGTCCATGTAAATGAAACACAAACCGGCACAAGGGGGGCTAATTGGGCATTAAATGGGAAATAAATGTAGCCAAACATCAGACTTGAATCTGGCTGCATGCTAGATGAATGGACTTTTGGAAATTACATACTGGCATTCAACATCCAGTTCCTGTAGAAACTACAGGCAGGTAATTGGAGAAGGAAGGAAAAGAATGGTAAAATAGTGCAGCTTTATACATTTATTGAATTTTAATGCAACTACAGTTAATTTCGGCTGGCCATATGAAAGTGACATTTTGCTGCCTCATACACTCTAAAAAATGCTGGGTTGTTTCAACCCAACTTTGGGTCAAATATGGACTAACCCAACTGTTGGGTTAAATTTTTACATTAAATTTTTAACCCAAAAGTTGGGTTAGTCCAAATTTGACCCAAAGTTGGGTTGAAATAACCCAGCATTTTTTAGAGTGTACAGTAAATGTTTTTGTTGTCAAATAATGTGAAATATAAGAGTTATTCAGACTTCGTTATTTTTAGTGTGTGTTTGTCACTTATGCAAAGTCTGGGACTTTTTATTACACTTTAAATCAGTAAAGAGTCTCAAAGGAAATGTTTTAGCATCTTCTTGCTGAATAATATCCATGTAATTTGTGAAATCTAAATTCCTATGTTGCATTTAATCATTTTATGGGATTTTAACTAGCAGAGCATATGTAAGAAATTTGAGCTGAATACTGTAATACAGTGATTGTACAAATGGTCGTAAAATTATATTTATATCTTTACAAAAATATCACGAAAAGGCATGTCCCATGAATGTCACATTTCATCCTTTGTGTTATTATGATATGCACTGTACATGGATATTAATGTCTGTGTCGTCTCAATGCTTGTTCAGCTGTGCTCTAGGAGGAGGCATGAGTACCCACTGACCCTTCACAGACTTGATCTTAGATCATTTTGTGGCTTTTCTAAACATTCTCAAAGTTGGGACATGGTTTGGGGTGAGTTAGTTATAGATCAGCATGCGGGCAATGAATACTTGCAAAACACAATGACCACAAGCCAAGGTGGGAAAGGGAATATCAGTTTTGCACATGGTCTCAAGGTGTTAGATCAGTCCTCCCCTTTTTAACCTGCTGAAGTCACTCCATTTTCTTTGACGGTGATGCACTCTTCTGATCTGGCTCCACTCTAACCCCATAGGCATCATATTGAGCTGTTTAAAATCTTGTTACAGCCATGTGGTCTGTATGTTATGGGGCGTTGCACATACCCCTTTGAAGCACTGCGAAACTTTGTAATTAATTTTGTTTATCAGTGTTCACATATAATTTTACTTTTTAATTAACTTGTAAACTACACTTTTTCATCATATCAGTACTATTGATTCATATTTTACTCTGTATATGTGGAAATGAATATACTAGTTAGTTATGATACCAAACCGCTGTCCTCACAGCTTGCAGGCTTCACATACACACACACACACACACACACACACTATATTATAGATTCGTTGCGGTACCCTGATTCAGAATCAGATTAATTAATACCTTGATAATGTACCATTTTACAGTTTGATTACCATTTAAGTAACATGATATTTAAATTGTAAAGTCGGTGTCTTTGATACTATTATGAAATAATATAATTTGTTGCATTATATAGCACTTTTCTAGACACTCAAAGCGCTTTACAATGTGAGGGGGGATCTCCTCATCCACCACCGCATAAACACATTTCATTACACCAAATACACAAAATAATGTTCTTTTTAGCAGCATCATATGACCCCTTTAAACTTTATGAAACTATAATGAATTTTCTGCATAGTTAATCTATTGAACCATTTACACAGATATTTTGGGGGGCATTTTTTTATGATTTTGGTTGGCATGTGTACACTTAAAGGCAATAATATGTAGGCTACTACAATAAAGAGGCAACTTAATTTTAACTGGAGAGCAATAAATAAAGTCATTTCATTCAACTTGACAAATGCTTTTAATATAATTTGGATATACATCTTGGGATTTTTAATGACCACAGAGAGTCAGGACCTCGGTTTAACGTCTCATCCGAAGGACGGTGCTTGTTGACAGTATAGTGTCCCCATGACTATACTGGGGCACTAGGACCCACACAGACCACAGGGTGAGCACCCCCTGCTGGCCTCACTAACACCTCTTCCAGCAGCAACCTAGTTTTCCCAGGAGGTCTCCCATCCAGGTACTAACCAGTCTCAACCCTGCTTAGCTTCAGTGGGCAACCAGTCTTGGGCTACAGGGTGATATGGCTGCTATGAAATTCTCCCATTTATGTTTCTATTTTGCTGTAATATTTAAAAAATCGATTTCATAACATCAATTCTGCCTACATTCATGTGTAATTGCATTTATTCAGCTTTTGTGCGGCATTAAACATTCTGTGTCCCTGTGATTATACAATTTGGACATTTGAGGCACACTTAAAAATATCAGAATTTCTTTGCATATGAAACTATATCAAAATCTGCATCTCCAAACAAACTATGCGAGACCTTTTCTCAGAACTAACTCACTTTTCTGAGTCATTTACTATCATTTACACAGGTTATTTTATTGAATGTGCAGTATGAAGTCAGTTTACGCAGGTGTAGCTCATCATATTTACTATATTCCGCCAACATTTGAGAACCAGCGTCCAAATGCTTTTTGTCTTAAGGTTGAATTATATATCTATTTTTTGGTCATTTTAAATGTAACAATTTTTTTTGTAAAATTTGTTGCTTGCTTTTGTGTCAAAAGTGTGCTTGTGCTGTCTTTCTGTAAAATGCACATGGTGTACAGGTCAGTTTAAAATGTACAGGTCAGTTTATTTGATATTTTATCTAATGCAGTTCCATTTCTACATCTTTTAAGACATGTATTCTAGCTTAGTGTGCATGTGGTATGTAGAAAATGGTGGCATGTGCACCTTTCATCAGGTTATCAGCGAGAGCTCATGTGTGACCGGAGTCTGCTGCTTGTGGTCATGCTGCTTGCAGGACTATGAGTGACGACTGATGCCTGAATGCAGTGAGCGTAAAAAGCCCTTTTCAATCTCTTAAATAAATACTCTTAACTCAAATCTCTAATCCGGTTTAAGGTCCATGTATCATGTCTTGTGAAGAACAAATCATACAGTGCTTTGCTTTGCTTTGCCATATATGGCTATTGGGGATTTGGGTTTATGTAGAGGTTAAATATACAGAGCTATTCTTCTTTTTTTCAACATCCCTGTAAATGAGCTGTATATCATTTATTTTTTTATTCTTCCTTTATTTATTTTCGTCTCCTTGAATAGCAGGAACAACTGTGAGGCTGACGGCCAATGAAAATGTAAAGATTGCATCATAAAATTACCATGTTTCTTTAATAGTTGATGTGGGTTTTATTTATCTGTACATTTAAAACTTATTTTTTGGGGGTTGGAAGGATGATCTTTCATTTTTAAATGTACTTGAAAGGGAAGGGGAAAATGAAGAAGGGGAGTCTTGTAGGGTTTAGGGTACTTGGCCATGTTGTGCAGGTAAGGGATGGAAAGTTAATCAACGGCTTGTTCTCTCCACCCTTGATGTCCTATGGGGATCAGGTGGGGGAAAATGCAGCCCTCCATGGGAATGCTTCACCCCAGAACCATCCATCAGTAATGGCCCTGACTGTGTTTGTGCACAATAGGGTAGAGTCATCTGTGGATAGTACTTGGAAGGGGAAAGCTACTTTGCATTAGCCCTGGAGATTTGGACAGTTTGAGACTTGCCCATTTTCACACAATAGGCTGAAACAAGTCCGAAGGTGAATAAAAGGATGATGCAACATCTCAATGTCCCACTATTCTTCCGTAATATATTTTTTTCACTAATAAATGCAGTATCATGAAAAGCATTAATGAAGTGTCACTTGATTTAAGTGACTTGATTCTGTGCAGGTCACTTGCTGAATTGATCAATTGTTTTTTCATTCTTTACAGAGGGGTTCAACACATATCTGAATCTCTTCACACAAAGAGTGGATTTACTTGAGCAGCTCTCAGGCTTAGTACCAACCAGCAGGAACGTGACCCTTTATGAGGAGGACAAGGGATGTCCAGTGCTGGACATTGGCCTGTATTCCACACTCACTATGCCCTCCCAGGAAGCATTTGGTTCAAGGTTTGACATTTATGTATGTCTGTATGTCTTTATGTCTGTATGTAATTATGTCTGTATGTAATTATGTATGTATGTCTGTATGTAATTATGTATGTCTGTATGTATGTAATTATTTAATTATTTTTGGCATTTTATTTGAGAGGTTTTTTTTACTTTTTCTTCTTTTTCATTATGATTTTATTAAAATGACCGTACTTTTTTAAATTTACACTGTTGTTCAAATGTTTGGGGTTAAATATATATATATATATATATATATATAGTTTCATTCAACAAGGGTGCATTACATTTATCAAACGTTTTACGTTGTGACAAAAAATTTCTTTTCAAATTAATACTGTTCATTTAAAAATTCTGTTCATCCCCTCAAAAACTGTCACATGTGCTATTAAGCAGCACAATATTTTCAACTGTGATAACAAGAAATGTTTCTTGAGCAAATCAGTATAATAGAATGATTTCTGAAGGATCATGCTGAGACTCTGAAGACTGGAGTAATGGCTGCTGAAAATTCTGCTTTGTCATCACACACAAATACCTTACATTTTAAAATATGTAATAGAAAACAAATATTTTAATTTGTAATAATTTTTCACATTCTTTCTATTTTTATTGTATTTTCAATCACATTTATCCAGCCTTGGTGAGCATTAGACAGTAGTTTTAAATGGTAGAGTATGTATTTACGTTCTCTCATTTCTAATGAAATTATTTCTTTGATACTTAACAAAGTGTCTGTGTGTGTTCACAGCTTTGCAGATGAATTTAGTCTTCTGATTCAACTGCGGAGCTCACAAGAAGAGGACCGGAGTGTGTTGACTTTGCTGAACTTCTATAATCACATTTTACTCCAGATCCGTATAGGCCCACACAGCATCACCTTCATCACCACACAGCAGCGTGACTATGAGTACAAACACCATTTAACACATGCCACTGAGCACTAAGCTTTACCAATGTTGAAATAACGGTATTCTTATAATAGTGTATTTGAAACTCTGGCTTCAGGTTTTCAGTGTCAGGGCTGTCTGACTCGCAGTGGCACTGGATCTCAGTTGGGGTTGCATTTGAATGGCTGGCTGTGTATGTGGACTGTGTGCTGGTGGAGAAAGTGAGCTGGATGTACCCGTACATGGGCATCACTACAGATGGCCTGCTGATGGTGGGGGGAATCCTGGAGGACTATGAGACACCCTTTGAGGTATTCTTCATTTGTTATATGCAAGGAGGGTATGGAAAGACACATAACTATAGTCAGTGTCAAGAATCCATCATGCCTGGGCAACCAGCCTTTCCTAAAGTCATTAATTAAACACTCAAATATGTCTTACTACAACACAGTGGTGTAGAAGAATGTTTATTAAAGAAACTAGAGCTAACCAGCTAAAGAAGCACTGGCAATGCGTCATGGGAAACATATGTATGGCTGCCACACCAATTTGCATTTCAGCTGTGAAAACCATCATCTTAGTGACTTGCACTTAAAAATGAAGGGTCACAAAACAGCATGCCAAGAGTTTCAATGGCACTAACTGCCTATAAATGGGTTTTTATCATGTGACTGTGGTATCAAGATTACTATTCATCCCAAATCGATGAGGCATATGAGTGAACGTTTGACCAACACTCTTGTGAAATCAGTGCTCATCTAATGGATTGTTATGTGGTTGATGTCCTAGCTCAGATTTGTCTTTGACGTCTGTGTCTGTCCTCACAGGGAGAGCTAAGACAGATGACCTTCATAATGGGAGATGCAAATGCTGCCAAGGATCACTGTGCTCTTCATCAGCATATGTGTGAACCTGTGAAAGAACGTGGCTTTCTTAAGACAGAAAGTAGCACTGAGGTAGGGTTGATGACTTTGTGTACTTGAAAGCAGTTATACAAAAATATATTTTTCAGGGCTATGTCATTTTTTTAAAAGTCCTAACCTGGTAAAATTACTGCTGAAAATAGTCATAAGTAATAAGAATTTTTTTAATATTTCATCAACGAAAAGATTAAATAACAATTAAATTATTTTAATTAAAACATAATTAAAAGGCAAGGCAAGTTTATTTATTTATATAGCACATTTCATACACAATGGTAATTCAAAGTTGAGCCTTGTGGGACTCCGCATGTCATGGACGTCCACTTAGACTTATGCTCTCCTATACTCACATAATAACCTCTCCCTTCTAAGTATGACCTGAAAAACATAATTAAAAGATAAAACACCAAGTTATTAACAATGCACTATCAATGTTTTTGAAGAAAAAAAATTATTTGAAAAAATAAAATTTAAAATAAAATTTAAAAATTGAATTTTTAAATGGTCATATGGTCATTCAAATGTCAATCATGATCAATAATGTTAGAGCTATATAAAATGTTTGAACGTTTGGTTTAATTTTGCACTTGTGCAAAATTGAAAAACTGGAATTTTTGTTCTTAAATTAGATGACATTTAAGTTTGAATAAAATTGACTAAAATTAATGAAAAAAAAAACTTAAAAGGGTAACTAAACAAAACTCCTATCCAAATATAATCCAAATACAACTGTTAGTACAACATTTTGCCTGAAAAGTGTGTAAAATGTGGCTCTGGGCACAGCAATATTGGCTAAACCAGTGATGTTAGTGTTTAGGATGTTATTTTTATTTTTTTGCAATTGATTTTTGTGATGCTATTGGCACAGAGAATGCATTTCATGCCATTAAAATCTTTCCACACTGAAAGTAATGTGTTTTATTGACATCTTGTTTGCCTCTATTCACCCTACAGAGCCCTTTGTCGTCCTCAGCTGGCTCAACAGCAGACAGACCTTTCTCATCAAATCCCTCCACTGGCAGAGATGAGACTGCCAATATACATTCAGTTCCAGGGCTCCGGCCTGAACCCAGAAAATCACATGGTTCGGTAAGAGACAACAAGAAACATCCCAGTGTTAATTACAGACCCAAAAAGACAGTTTACAAGTGATCTGTGTATGAATTACATCTTAAAAGCTCAGATACAGCCACGGTGAGTAATTCTGCAGCTATGAATGGACAAAGCCTGAGTACAATGTGGGGAGAATGAACCCCAGCTGGAGAAGAGAGCTGGGTGACTTTAGAGGTCAGGAAATTGAATAAATGGGAAAGTAGAGATCACTCTGACTTCTCATTTGTCCTCATAAAGCTGTTGCTGTATTTTCCTACATGGGGAGGGCGATGATAAATTATCATCATGGGAACTGTCTCGTTTCAGCACGATGCTGTAACAGAGAGGAGCTGTGCTGAGACGGTTTAATAAACACCCCGTCTGGGAGAGTAAGTCCGGGCAGCCTGAGAGTTTGCTGGTATACTCCAGGAACAGCTCCAAAGCTTGAAAATCGCCTGGAAAGTCATTAGACACCTATATTGCTTTGCACTTTAAGTGAGCTCTGTGCACTGCAGGACATACTTTTAAAAGTTTCCTGGGCTGATTTTTTTTTTTTTACATATGTTATGAATTGATAAAAAGCTTGTGATTGCACACACAGTATTTTGCTAGACACTGTCTGCATAGTTGGCTGTGGGTGTAGCTTCATCCAGAGTAATCTGGTTGGGTGTTTCATGGAAAGCAGGGATATACTATATATCATATGATTCAGTATGGTAAATCATATCATACAGCATTTTTAATTTATTTGTATCTGTCAGTATTGAATATTTCATTTTAGTCAAAGTTGTTTATTGTCATGTACAAGTACCATGTACAAAGTACAATGAAAATCTCTCTTCTCAGAAAAAAATACAATAGACAGTATTGGTATGTACAAAAATATACATGCAGTATATGTAGAGATGAAAAAAATGAGACAATAAATTGACAGTGCCATTAATATGGTTTAAGAAATTGCAAGAGTGACAGTGTAAAGTTATTGATGTTGTTATACATGCTCATTTCTACGGAGCCCAATACATGACATGCATAAAAAAAATGCATATTGTGGCCACAACTTAAAAGGGATAGTTCAACCAAAAATGAAAATTCTGTCATTAATTACTCACCTTCATGTCGTTCCAAACCCGACCTTTGTTCATCTTCGGAACACAAATTAAGATATTTTTGATTAAATCTTTCTGACCCTGCATAGAGAGCAACGCAACTGACACGTTCAAGGCCCAGAAAGGTAGTAAGGACATCGTTAAAATACTCCGTGTGACATCAGTGGTTCAACCGTAATATTATGAAGATATGAGAATACTTTTTGTTCACACAGAAAACAAAAATAATGACTTTATTCAACAATTTCTCCTCTTCCGTGTCAGTCTTCGACACACGTTCATGAGAGTACCATGATGCTGCTGTCTATGCAGGGTCAGAAAACTCGTCAAAAGATTTCGTCAAAAATATCTTAATTTGTGTTCTGAAGATGAACGAAGGTCTTAAGGAACGTTTGTAATGACATGAGGGTGAATAATTAATGACAGTGTTTTCATTTTTGGGTGAACTACCCTTTAAGAATTTGTTCCTACAATTTAGTAATTAATGGCCACGTTTTCTGAATTAATTCCCTAGTTCTAGGTAAAAATGTTCATACTGTACATTATAATGCTACAATGCCTAAAATCACTTGTAGCATTTTAAATGATTTATTTTAGTTTTTTGTGTTAGATTTTTTATTTATTTTGAAATATTAAAATGAATTTATTGGTTATCGGCCAGTACATGAAAATAATTATTTGCTTCAAGGGTGAACTACCCTTTAAGAATTTGTTCCTACAATTTAGTAATTAATGGCCACGTTTTCTGAATTAATTCCCTAGTTCTAGGTAAAAATTTTCATACTGTACATTATAATGCTACAATGCCTAAAATCACTTGTAGCATTTTAAATGATTTATTTTAGTTTTTTGTGTTAGATTTTTTATTTATTTTGAAATAATATTAAAATGAATTTATTGGTTATCGGCCAGTACATGAAAATAATTATTTGCTTCAGTATCAGCCACAATTTTAATATCAGTGCATTCCTAATGTAAACTTTTAAAGGGTTTGACTTTGACAAATGACAAATTCAAATAAAATCTAGGGCATGAATAAAATCTAGGGCATTACATCTGTTAGTTTTCATTAAAATAGATGTTAATTGAAAAAATTGACACTTTATGTAGACATGAAGATTTGTGCATAATCCTTAAGAACATTAAATTAATAGATTCATAGATTAAATGAATATATTAATAATCAGCATTCACTGTTCTCTGAACACATTTTAAAGTGGTCTGAAATATCTGTAGTGATTTTATCATTTCATTTCTGTCAAATTGTATTTCACTTCATTACGCCAGCATTTGGACAATGGCTTATGTCACAAAACATTCTGTAATGATCGTCACATGTTGAAGCCTATTGCCTACAGTTGAAGTCTCCAAAAAGCAAATGAAGCCAAGCTCATTTGGCCCAATACAGCCTGTATTACAGGAAGTGAGATTACATCAGTGTTCTGTTATGGTTTCACACACTACAAATGACACAAAGACAGTTGTATTATTTAGCAGTGAACAGCTTTAAGGTTAAAGATCAAGGCAAATCTGTGTTACACATCTTCCCCCAAGACGTGGCATTACATAGGGGAATTCCAGGACTGTCCCATCTATCAAAGATGGCGCAGAGCTCACCCCTGCATATGGATATGGTTTCGTTTGAGGCGTAATTGAGGCTGAGCTTACATAATGTTGCCTGTTATCAGCTAACCAGGGTTTGACAAACTACTAGAGGACAATACTGCCACACTTAACACAATAACCTCCTCCGGATAATGTTCTAAAATGTGGCAGATCTAATCTTAAATTTAGTTTTGTTTTAACTCTTGATCATTCGTTTATGGAGTATATATGTAAATGAGGAAGTGTGGAAGTTCTGTTCTGCTCATGTCTGCCAGCACAGCATGGAAATGTTCTTGGCAATGTTTGTCTGTCATCCATTTATTCTGGCCTCATAAAGGTTAGACATGTAATTATGATCTTTGCACTGTAATTTAGTGCACCCTTCTGAAGCTAAAATAAGTCATAAAGAAGATATAAACTTTGGTTATGTGTGAAGTTTTATTTAAAGGGTTCATATGATGCGATTTCAAGTTTTCCTTTCTCTTTGGAGTGTTACAAGCTGTTCGTGAATAGATAAGATCCCTAAAGTTGCAAAGACTAAAGTCTCAAACCCAAAGAGATATTCTTTATAAAAGTTAAGACTCATCCACGCCCTCCTAAAACGCCTCGTTTAAACACGCCCCCACATGTCTACGTCACGATGTGGGAAGATTTGCATAACGCCGCCCAAATGTTCACGCAAAGAAAGAAGGCGTAACTTTATTATTGCTGCCACCGCCGCCGCCATGTTGTGAAGTCGCTGTGTGTTTCGTTGCGATAGCAAAAATACTTTGTTTGGCCTTCCAAAAGAGGACAATATCCGCTTCGTCATGCCTAGAG